CTCGGAATGGGAGGCGGAAGTGTGTCCGTGGGAAGCGAATCCGAGGAGGCAAGGATGAGGTCAGATGATGCACTGCTCGCAAGCAGGAGGACAGGCAGGTAGCAGACACAAATGCCGGATCGTACCCTAGGCACATGAAGGCAGAATTAACGCAGTTCAAATGACACATATGTACAAAGCTTTTGCGGGAAGCCTAGTTACCCCTGAGGGGTGATTAACGGACTGGCGTGGAGCATCCGTCAGCGTGGGTTAAATAGTCCTCCAGGTAATTGCCCAGAATGGAAAGCAGGTGTGCAGGTGATGGCCCAGCCCAGAGGTGTGGCCACCAGGGCAGCCCACACACTCCTCAGACATAGGGCCACAGACCATGACAAAAACATAATATATACACACACAGTTGTGTCATGGTCTCGGTGCCTCCCTGGCAGTGTAGAATTAGAAAACAAACAAGCAAACAAACCATTACAAAAGCACAAAGGTAAACTGCACCGTATTTTAAAATGCAGTTTCATTTTTGAGCTTGGACTTATTTCATGTTATTGTTATATCCAACAGGCAAAAAGAAACTGCTAAATCAGGTTTGAAAACTAACACGAATTTGGTGAGTAGAATGACTTATTCTTCAAACATCCAGAATATGATATGTCATAAGAAAGGTAATTCTATTATTTACTAAACTGTCATTGAAGTCTAATTGTAATCTTTAATAGGTGATGATCCTCAGCCCTGCTTTCATGAAATATGTCCATTATGTTTGGCTAAAAAAGCATGGGAGGTATCCATCCACTGGCTTTCTGACTTTGGTTCTCAGCTTGTACTTGTGTGATGAGGTAGGTTCAAGAAACAGATACGATAATTCATCGCTACACCATTCATTATTGGCCCATTGGTTGTACATGAGAGCATAGATATCATTTCCAGCTTAAGCATTACCACAAGGGATCTTTACCATCTGGTTATTTCTAGAGCAGAATTACCTAAATACCATTAAACTAGCTGGGACAATATCCCTTATTTAGATTTGACAATCACAGATAGACAATCTGTGATTGTATTTGTATTGTATTTGGAAGGCCTCATAGGCCTCATAGGGAATTGAATTTGGAATGCCTCATCGGGAACTGGCAGTTGCCCCTAGGTTGGATGACCCGTGTTCTAATGAGAAGTGAATGAATTAAAAAGGTGTGGAGGTTGGAGCATTAAAATGAGAACTAAATTTTACATTGCAGCCGTTCCCCAACTGTCTGTGAATGGTACTCCTGGAGAATTGATCTATGATCATACAAATGTGTTTATTAATAATCATAAAACTGACCTCAAAGCCGATTGTTAGCGAGTGATGCTATCTTCAGTCATTATGCAAATGTACTGTTAAGGCTTGGGAAACCTGTAGGACATTTTTACCAATGAAAATGCTATGTCCAGATTAATAGAATTAACTTACCAAGATTTCCATACACAGATGATTGAGGATACATCAAGACATAAGTTTTTGATGCTTTTACTTTTAGAGTCCTTTCCTCCAAGGAAATTAGGGGACCAAGGGACTTGCCTCCCTGTCCTTGGTCCCCTAATAATACCTTTTTTAAGAGCAATGCAGAACACATTAGTGAGGGGATAAGCTCACTCTTTACACTGATGCATCAATCACTTAATCAGTCAGGAACAGGTAACTATTAACCTTGATTTCTTTCCTATTTCTCTTTCTTCAGTTTATCTGTTTGTTATTAATTGTGTGTATTTATTATAGTTTTATACTGTTACTGTATTTGCATGTTGAAGTGTTTGTTTCTTGGCCTTTCCTATTGCCTTGATAAGGCTCTTGGTATGAGAAAATTCCAGGGGATGGTGAGGGTGCTAGTAGTAGAATTTATGACAAGTACTGACAATCCTAACTTACACAGACTGTATTTTGATTTTTGATTTTAATAAAATATACTTAAAAAAGAAAAATGGAATGGCAAATCGCCTGCACTGCATTAAGCTAAAGCACAGGTGTCGAACTCAAGGCCTCGAGGGCCGGTGTCCTGCAGGTTTCGATGTGTCCTTGATCCAACACAGCTGATTTAAATGGCTAAATTACCTCCTTAACATGTCGTGGAGTTCTCCAGAAGCTTGTTAATGCATTAATAATTTGATTAGGGTGTGTTGACCCAGGGTGATATCTAAAACCTGCAGAACACCGGCCCTCGAGGCCTGGAGTTCAACACCCCTGAGCTAAAGCATGTTAATGAAATCTGTAGTGTCTATAATCTATAATTATTTTATGTTAATTTCATTTGT